ATCTAATAATAATCTAATAAGAAGAAATGGGACGAGTAGGAAAAAAAATTTTCTAATTCCATTTCTTCCTTCATTTATACACACGAAGGAGATATAATTAATAAAATCGCTAAAAGGAAATAACATTTTTTAACTACAAAATGTATTTCATTTTGCAGAAAAGTGTTTACAACCCGAAAAAGAACAAATTTTGAGGGACACCAAATTTAAACAATTGATGTCACGTTCTATCGTACGCTGGTTGCTACAGAATAATACGATTTAAACAAATTTAGTATAATAAATTAGAACATGAATTTTCGAAAAAAATTTAATATATTTTCAATGTTTTCTAACTATTTACCGCAAACCAATTTCAGTCATTGAAAGACAATCATTTTATGACTACAAATCACTCATTGCTATCGTATTTTGAAGCTTTTTTTTAAATCATATTTTATACTTTTATAAATTTTGAAATAATAAAATACGTAAAGTGAGATTTGAAAGCTATCATAATATTTAGATATCAGAATTCGGATATACATTTGTCAGAAGGAAATGAAAGTTTATATCTTTGCATGATACAAATAAAATCCTATAGGAACTAGACATACAAAACAATTTCCAACAACATCGGACAAGCTTCCTCGTAGAATTAGGATTGAAAATTAAAAATAACTACAAAACAATTTTAGCTATTAAAAATAATACGATCACTCAAAATGATAAAAGAACAAATTCCTTAAGAATTCCAAACACAAGTGGCAAATGAAAAAAAAAATTCAAATTGTTAAAAAAAAAAAAAGATTCCTTGTAATTAGTAATCATCCTTGTAAAAATCCTATATCAGTAAAGATCTAATTTTTCTCAATATTGTGAAAGCCCCTAAATCAGCAGACCGTTCCCAAACTTGGACAGTCCCATTTGGAAGTGGGACTCCATTCAACCACCCTCCCCCTTCTCCCTACAAAATTACCCCAGTATTTCTACCTACGGCCTCTCAATCCCTATCTATATCATTTGCTAAAAGAGAAAAACAAGATGGCGTGTTTTTGAACAAAAAATATATACAAATGTCTGGAAAGCAGACGCGTTACACGTAATATCCAAGAAAAACAATAAAAATCAAGTTGAAGTAGTCTGGTTGAAAATCTGAGACTAATAAAAATAAACAATTTGTGAATAAAATGAATGAAAAAGTGTAATATTTATGTGGGGGGAAAAGCAGCGCATAATCCATGTTAACGATAGGCTATTAGATCAGAATAATAATCGGTTGAAAATGGCTTTATAGTTCATGGTCAATTACGGAAGCAACTGTTTCCGGTTTGTTTTTCTACAGTCAACAAGCTTTGTAACAGCTAATAAAATGGTGGTGTGCATAGAATATGGATTATTTATAGATACGAATACTGTTACATTTTAGATACATAATCTTTTTAAGTTTTGCACTTCAATGCATAAGAAAACGATCCTTTCAATCATGTATGTATGTATCATAGTTAATCATGTTTCAAAAGTGATTAGTTTTCGTCGGTTTCGAAAAAATAAAACCGCCAATTTTGTAAAAATGGCAATTTTCTCGAATAAATTAACTGAACACCCAAGACACTATATTTAATTGATAATACAATATTTAATTTATTAGTTTTTTGTGTGTATATTTATGTTGTTAAGCGTAATTATTTGTCACATAAGCTACTATTTTTGTAAACCTCGTTCGCAAAGTTTTGTCAAAATTTATTTTTGTTTGATAGTATTGATGTCGTATCGTAAAAGTTAGGATTGGAAATTCACTAAATAAAAACAAATCTATCAGAATTTCTCGCTAACTACGTAGATTAAAGTACAGACGTTCTTAAAATTCCGAATAAACAATTACACTTTTTAATTTCTTTGATAAATGATCTATCCATTTTGATTTTGTCCATTACAGTGGAATACTTTTCCCAGAAATAATTTTAGTAAAAAAAATATTTTAAAATTATCACCATTTATTTTTAGAGAAATTAGGAATTCGTAACTTAACACAAAAATCTCTTACTGCGTAATTACAAAGATTTGATTAAAAAAAAAACTAGGTTGGAATGATAAACAAGTTCATTTTTTTGAGGAATAGTAAGAATTTAGAAAAAATTATAAAATTATTTCTTTTAGTCGGTATGAGCTATTGAAAGAAAAGATGAAAACCATATAGAGGTGCACTTTTTTGATTCTGAAAATAGAGAAAAGCATAATAATTGTATCCAAGACATTTATCTAAAACCTAATTATCTTCAAAGGTTGAAGCTAATCTGTTGATGACATGAAAGTAAATCAAACAAGGAAAAAAGCCTGCACCAAATTTTTATTTTTTTCTTCATTAAAATAAACATAAGTTTATTTATCAATCTTCACTAATATTTTGTTTATTTAACTTTTAAATGTGTAGTATAATAAAATATACATTAAGTGTATAAGGTTTAATTATAAATACTCAAATTTTATAATTCTAAACACTACACACAACACGTTTGATTAATCGGAATTTACTAATACAATCAGATTTAACTTTTAATTAAATTAAAACCTCACTGATGATTTGATATTAAAAATGTTAAAATAGTTAAACTGAAGTATATTTTTTTAGTTTGAATATTAGTGTGGATCTTGGTTTTTAATGAACAATAAAATGTAGATAGACATAAATAAAGCAATATTATAGTTATCTTTTAATTTATAAAATACAGAAAAGGTAAGTTTCTTCCATGGTGAAAAAAACTCCTGGGAAGATTTAGGTTTCTCCCAACCCAAGTTGAAGAAAGAGAAGAAACTTAGTTTTTAAATGACATTAAAAAAAAATTTTTTCACAGAAGTTATTTTTCCAATTTTAATCTAGATTAATTAAAAGCTATAAATTTTTAAAATATATCTTTTACTATGCTATTTTCATCTGATAATGCTACATATTAAAGACAGAATTAAAATCAAAAATTTATTTTCTTAACTTTAGATATAATTAGATTTATAACATTCTATATTGTATATATATGAGGTTTATTTATTCAGGAAAATGAGGTTAATATAAATCTCATTTAAAAATAAATTATTATTATACAGGTTGCAAAGATTTAGAAATTTTGCTTATATTGTTTATAAGTATGATAAAGTATGTTTATAAGTATGACTAAAATAAATATGAAAATAGTTACTTCTTTAAAAAGTAAATGTAAAGTCTGAAAATTCCATCTATTTTCAATTTTATTTATTAGTATGTTAAGTCCTGAATCTTAATAACAGATTAAACTTTTTATAATACTTATCTAAACAATTCCTATTGGTTATTTTTAGTTTCTTCCAAATTGAAAAGTTTTTTTCTTTTCTTTTTCCTTTCAGTCCACTAGCAAAAATCTCAAACATGAGTTACCAACATGCCAATATTAATTACATTTTTTGTTGTAGTTAATTTACGTCGCACTAGGGCTGAACAATGGGCTATTGGCGACGGTCTGGGAAACATCACTCAGGATGATCCGAAGACATCACAATTTTGATTCTCTGCAGACAGGATGACACCCCCGCTTCGGTAGCCCGACGACCTGCACGCGAAGTCGAGCACTTTACGGTAGAACAGTTTAACGAGGACCAATACCGCAGACCATCGGTCCCTACGTAGACTGATCCAAGTGGTCACCCACCCGCACACTGCCAGTGATGCTTGACTTCGGTGATCTGCTGGGAACCACGACTTAACGATCAGTCCACTGCGGGACTAATTATACTTTTTTATTTGTGAGTTTTCATACACAAATTTTAAACCAAACACCATACATTTTACAAGGTTCATACTCAATTTCAGAAGGAAAAAAAAAAAAAATTCTCGAACTTTTCTAGGTACATCAGGAAATCCAGACCATATTTTATATACACCATGCTTTTATTCATCAGAAAACTTTGATTTTAGGTATGCAATGTCAAACATTAAGATTTTGTGAGAAAAATAATTTTCACTGAATGAGGATAGAAGGACGGAAGTTGCACTAAAATATGAAATTTTTTAACAAGTAATTGTAAATAAATGTTAGAATTTAATTTGAATCTTAATAACAGATTACTTTTACTGACAATTCTAAAACGGGTTATTTTCCAGGTATAAAGTGCGAATTTTCCAGATTTTCGGAAAAAAATGCAACTTTCCCTGACTTTTCCCTCCCTACTTTTCAGAGTAAAAATAAAATATCCTGAGATGTCCAGGTATTCCTTTTTCTCCCTGATCCAGGGAGTCCTGATTTTAATATACTCTCTTAAGTAATCCATGCATTAGGCTAATTACACAGGCTCTTTCCCCCCACAAAATTAAATTCAACTCAAGATAAGCTTTTGGGATATATTAAGACTTTTTCTTATCCTTAGTTTATGGGCAGTAAAAATTGCAATAAGTTTAGGCAATTAGCAGGACAGATTAAACAGTAAAGACATATATTTCAAACATCATACCAAAATTTAAAATGCCTGCTGCCTAATTAAAATTATCGATCACCAATAAAATCATAGAAATTCACAACAGATATAGCAAATAGTACTGAGTAATGCTGTTAACAGCAAGAAATAGTAATTTATAAGGAAAACTACAATATTGCCTGATGCTCAGTTAAAATAATCTAACAACTACTAGAAATGTTTACACAAATAGTGATGTTCAAATGTGATGTTTTCTGAAAGATGTGTTGAAGGAAACATCTAATAATGTATTTGTAGCAACAAATAAGTGGAAGGCATTGGCCCACATTGGGCTGTCTGGCCAACTATGATGATAAGTTACAGATATGCTAAGTACGATATTCTTTGCAACTAGATTTAAGGCAGAAGAATTATAAACTCTAAGATATAAAAATATTAAATACCGAATCATAACACACCATATAGTAATGATTAATTATGGAGAGATTCTTTTAGGAAAATCTAATTTTTAAAATAAGAACAACAATTAAATTGTTCCACTAAGAAAATAATAATAAATAAAATATAAATAAACTTACCGTGAAAGGTCTTTAAATGTTAGTCCAAACATAATTCTTAATCGATGTACAGTTGCTGAGCAACATTTAAAGAATAACAGACGATATCAACAATATCTATTGATAGATGCAGTTTGTTGGCACGCAATAGATCACTTTAACTTTTCATTAATTCGTATTTCTTTTCAAAACAATCCAACAAAGATAAGTCACACAAAATATGACGACACAGGTAGAGTTGTTTCATAGTCGATCAATCTGCAAACGATAATTAAAATAACTTTCGCATCTGACGACACGTACTAAGTTACCAATCAATTCGTCTGACGATAATTAAAACAAGGTTCAAAATAATCAGTAAAATTGATCAAAATGAAAACGAGTTAAAATTAATATTCTATTTTAAATAAATCAAACACTGATATCAGACAAAAGAACAAATATGGAATCTCTTGTTATCCATAGTTACGTGAGTAATCATCGTGTTGACAAGCCGGCTTCTTTCTACAAATAAAACGCTCCGCAAACTAATTCAGGAACCCACGTGGTTTCGGAGCGACAAATTCGAGGTAATTTTCTCTCGCGCAGAAAGCAGCGTGCTCACTAGCATTTACGAAACTTCAGACACGGATCCAAGAACGAGGAGATCGACTCACTCACTGAGACCTACTCGAGTGGCAACATTGTGGTTGAATCTGTGAAGCCCTTCTTTCATTCGCCGTCACCCCCTCCCCGTAACATTCAGGCAAAGAACATAGCTTCTTTCTGGTAATAAGGGGCTATCCCCTAATAGCAGATTGATGTCAGTTTAATAGGATTATTCGAGGATGCGAATTGTCTCGGACAAGTTCATTTACAATCAACAAACACATCATATTTTATTCTTATCAATGAGTGTACCTAAAAACGTGACATGAAGTGTATGCTAGATTCATGCATATTTAAATTTATTTTTTTTAAATATAAAATTACATAGCGTTGTTTTAGAGATTTCAAAACTATTTCAGTTCACGCGTTGAAAGCAAAAATAGTAATGGCTGTGAAGAGAATTTCTTATTTACCATTAGTTTTCATTCAAAAATCTTTTTAAAATTAGTAAATAAACGCGAAAATTAGTTAAAGATGCTATTACAGTTTTAGAAAAAGTATATATTTCATTTAAATTTCTAAGGTATAAACTTTTTTTTAAACATAAGTCTGTTTTTAGATGAGTTTGTTTCCTAAATTGTTAAAAGAACAGAAGAAGAACGAAAACTTTATATTATTTGAGTTTGTTTTTTGTCCGACATTCCAACATGTTTTTTTTTTTTGGGGGGGGGGAACATCACGCGTTTTATTTGATATATTAATTAAACTTAGTATGACTTATTTGTTTGCTTTTTTTTTGCTGAGATCGAATCTTATAAGAATTCAATATTAACAGCATTTTAGATTAGCATGAACAATTCACAGAAATAGATTAAAAATAAGAAAAATAATATCATCATTCTTCATTTTTTTATTTCTTTCCACCTATTGAAAAATTATATAGTTTTCATAGCTACTAACAACTATGAATCGTCCGTAATATTTCCTTTTAATATTTAAAGTGGTAATGAATATTATCAATTTCTTTTTAATTCTTGCATTCATAAATTTAGTTTAATATAATTTTGACAACCAATAAATGCAAATAAACCAATCTTATAGATAAGAGCAAGTTATAAAAAACGTAAATGAGTATAAACCATACCAATTGTGAAAAGTTAATTTTATTTTCAATTGCATTTCAATTAATATTTTACTGCCAATTGGGAAATCATTTCTCGAAGAAAAAAAAATTTAGGCAGGTCTGTTGTTTTAAGTCTCACAAATATTTGAAGTAATAAAAACGTTAAATTATCACCTTTTATTATAAACTTAGAATTGCATATAAGTAGTACTTTAAATTTTTAAGTATAATGATTAAATGCATAAGTATGAAGAAAAGTAGTCGGCAGTAGTGGACTAGTGATTAGGAAACAGGTATAGGTACCAACAGTAGCGATTTAGGACCTTTTTACTTTATTGGAAGTTATTGTAAACAATTTTTCAGCATCTTTCTTTTCTTTTTAAAAGTTTCCAAAGCATTTAAAGTCATTATTAAACGATTCTCTGATTTTTTTTAACATGCAGAGTGTTCTATAACGTCCATCTTTAGTCTAAATATATAAATAAATATATATATATATATATATGAAATAACGGCGGAACCACGCCGTTATTATTTAGTTAATTTAAGAGTCAGAGCATCATGATTAACGAGTCCAGTTTCGGCATAATATTTTATTTTACTAAACGATGGTGAAAAAGCAGTTTAACCCCTCTCCAGACGGAGAGGGAGAGACAGAGTTACAGTCAGATCTGACGAAGTTTAGTTGGTAAACATTATACAACAAAAAAGTCACGCAAAAACATTGCTCCTGCATTTTACAGGATGATTTTTAGTTGTAAAGAGGCCCAGTCATATGCCTTTTTCTGTATTCTTACCTTTTATTCTTACCTTTTCTGTATTCTTACCTATTCTTACCTTCTATGCCTTTTTCTGTATTCTATTTTCTGTATTCTTTTTCTGTATTCTTATTAATGCTTTTATTAATACAAAAGTATTTAATTTTTGTATTATATATATATATATATATAAA